ACTAATAATAATACTAAGAATAAGAAGACCACTGATTAGACAACTAAGAATAATACTACGAATAAAAAGAAGACGACTAATAATAATAAGACGAATAATGCGAAACAAACGACTAATAGTAATATTAATAAGAACAAGAAGAATAGGAGTATGACTAATCATAATAATGCTAGTGCTCGTCATCATATTATTAATAATAATAAGAGTATTAATAATACGAATAATAGTATTAACAACAGTGATAACACTAATTATACTAATGCTGATAATTATAAAACTCATATAATCATAAGAAGAATAAGAAGAAGAGGAGGAGGAGGAGGAGGACGTGGACGAGGAGGAGGAGGAGGTGGAGGAGGAGGAGGTGGAGGAGGAGGAGGAGGCGGAGGATGCGGAGGAGGAGGAGGAGGAGGAAAACGAGGAGGAGGAGAAGGAGGAGGAGAAGGAGGAGAAGGAGAAGGAGGAGGTGAACTAATGAGAGGAAGAAAAAGAGGAGGAGGGAAAAGAGGAGGAGAAGGAGGAGAAGAGGAGGAGGAGGACGAGGTCTGCAGTCGCTCCCTCCGCCCCTCCACCGCCCGTCCCGAAGCGCGGCAGGCAAACCTGGACGGGCAGATGGTTGAGCTGGAGGGCCTGCGCAAGGAGGCCGCTGCCCCAGCGGCCCGCCCCACTTCACAATGCAGCCTGGCGGCCGCATGCTCATGTGGCCTTAGGGCCCTGTGCTCTTTTCGAGTCCCTCTCCCTCTCCTTTCTCAGCTGCGCCCGCCAGGCCCCATGAGTTTGCTCTTTGCCTACGGCGGCATACTGCACTTCTTTCTCACACGCAACGCTCTGGGCTTCAGCCTTAAGTTTGCGCAGCGTCAAAAAAGACAAGACAAAGGTAACAGTCCTTTTCCTCCTCCCCCTTTCGGCGGCAAACGGGGGGGGGGGAAGTGAGAAGGAGAAAGCCTTCTCAGAAGGCGGCGGGGCTTCTCAGAAACCCTCGCGCCTCCTGTGAAGTTTTCTGTGTCTCCGGGGAAGGCTCAGACAACTTTTCAGAAGGCCCGGGGGACTTCCGAGCCTTCGAGACGGCCCGCCCCTTCTCACTCCCCCCCCTCGCTCACCGCCGATGGAGCGTTGTGGACTAGGGCTTGCGCTTTGTGGAGCGGATGCCGCCGGTCAGGGCTTCGCCCGCCTGGATGTGGCCAGGGAGGCACGCCGTTCCACCGGATACGGTCTCGCCCTGCTATGCATCAGCAGAGGGTCGAGGCAATCGGTCAAGATTGGGGGGCCACATGCGAACCCTACCCCTACCCCCCACGACTTCTGAGGGGGAGGGTGGGGTTCACTTCGCTCGAGAGCTCCCAACGAAGTGAACCCCACCCTCCCCCTCAGAAATCGTGGGGGGTAGGGGTAGGGTTCGCATGTGGCCCCCTTAAAGATTTGCTGGATGATTTGGCCAGTTCTGCTCAAGACCGAGATCCGTGGTTTGCCATCACGAGGAGCTGCCTCTCACGTATTACCCCGCCTCGTTGTCGGACGGGCCCTGGTCCGCCGGGCATGGTTCGTGGAACTCCCCCCCGACCCTTACAATATTGGAGTTGGGCATCTCGTTCTAGATTGGTTTGCCCCGAGGCGCACCATCAAATCATTTTGCAGGGCGGCTCGGTCATACACAGAAGGAAACGGTGGCCGCAGGCAGTGCGAGATACGATAACCTGTGCACGCGACATTGCCGCAGACACCACTGTGCCTGAATTTCCTGGTTTTACAGGCTCGGCTATTTGTCTCATCGGCCCATCTACCATCTAGTCATGTTGCTTTGATGTCTTCAGGCCTTTTCCTGCTGACTAGTAGGCGAACCATCAACTAATGTATGCAGGACGCAGTTAGCAGGTGAATTTGGTTGACACATCGCATCATATTGAAGGCACAGTCATAAAAGCACGTCTGTCGTTGAACGCCTTTGATCTTGTAGGAGAAGAGCTGCTTAGGCGTATGGGCAATCACTTTGCGGATCCTGGCGCCAAGGGGACGGATTTGTTTTACCCTCATCGCGATGGTATGCTGGCCGTCATATAGAGACCCCATATCTCTCCTCTCGCCCTCGCCCTAGCGTTGTGCGGTATTGGGCTGGTCCCTTCCGTCTGGACTGTCTCGAGGCCCCGTCTCATCTCATCTCATCTCAGATCATCTCATATCATCAAATCTCATGTCGTATCATCTCATCTCATGTCATGTCATCCCATTTCATCTCATCTAATCTCATTTCATATCATTCCATTCCATCCCGTATCATCTTATCTCATCTCATCTCATCTCATCTCATCTCATCGCATCGCATCTCATCTCATCTCATTCCATATCATCCCATTTCATCTCATCTCATATCATCTCTTTACATCTCATCCCATCTCAACTCATCGCATCGCATCGCATCTCATCTCATCTCATCCCTTCTCATCTCATTTCATCTCATCTCATATCATTGCATCACATCTCATCTCATCTCATATCATCGTATCGCATCTCATCTCATCTCATCTCATCTCATCTCACCTCATCCCATCTCATCTCATCTCATCTCATCGCATCGCATCTCATCCCATCTCATCTCATTTCATCCCATCTCATATCATATCATATAATATCATAACATCTCATATCGTATCATAACATCTCAAATCATCTCATTTCATTCCATATCATCTCATCTCATCACATCTCATAGCATCTCATCTCCTCGTCCTCCTCCCCCTTCTCCTCCTCCTCCTTTTCCGTTCTTCTCGCTCAAATCGGATGTTTTGCCGCCGTTTCGCTTCAGCGCCGGCGCGTACCGGTATAACGTACGGATGAATCAAGCACAACAATCACCATCTTATTGCCGCTATGTTTTCTCTCGTGCAACTTCCAACCCCGCAATTCTAATCGGTAGCGGAGCTGGGAATATCCCAGTTCGCGATCCACAGAACGTGCGCATAGTGCGGTGCGGACGCACATTCGCAGGTACCTTCACCTCCGCATGTGTACCACCCTTCTTTCTTTGAAGAGCCCGTGCTTGTGGCTGTTTTGCAAGGGAATTGGCAAGTCGCCCTGGACGTTTTGGTCCGGCTGCGCGGACATCAGCAGAAGGCGCAACCGCGATGAGGAACGACTTTCCCACAGGAGCGCCACGACGTTCCTCCACCCATCGCAGCCCCACAGGCACTCGCCGCAGCTTCGCGTTTTGTATGGCTGCGAGGCTCCTTTCCTGGGCCAGCGCCGTGCTTCGGTACGTGTGCGATAGTGTTGGCTGTCCGTGTGAGCGCATCGCACCACCGGACTGGAGCAACGAAGGCAAACGTACCAGTTTAACAGACTTCGGCTTCGACCACGGATGATGGCAGCACCGTCGGTGCCCCGTAGTTCGACATGGCGTCCGTCCCTGCGCACGCCCGAGTCTCAAGGCGCCTCCGCAGTCGTCATGGTGGTGAGGTTTTATCGAGGGGGACGTCCATGTTGACGTTCTGGGGCAGCATCCTCGTGTTCTTCATGGCCGTCCTGTTTTGGCTCGCCGGCATGATCCCTGGTGGAGCCGACCCACGCGGCATTTACCGCCATCCGCCCTCATGGTCACCCGAGTTCGAGTCCATGTATTCCTTTCGCCAGTGGGTGCAGGACGTGCTCGTTTGGAGCGTGCTAGGCACCGACATGGACAGCGCCCAATAATGCGCTGCTGCCATGCTCAAAGTCGGTGGGGCCGCTCGCGAGTTCACGCGCTTCATAAGTTTCACGGAGATTACGGAGGGGGGCATGGTCAACAGCCTGCAAGAAGATGCCGTGACCCACCTCATTGCGAGCCTCGCCATACAGTTCGGTCCGCTAAGCGTGGAGTCGCGCCCTAAGGGCACCCGCGAGCTCTTCGAGTTTTCAAGGTGCCTTAACGAAACCATCGATGCGCTGCTCTCGCGGCTTCTTACGCTGCGATTCCGAACTACGCACAAAGGTGGGGCGGCGATCTAGGGGGAGCTACAGCTGGCTGCTCCTTCGAGCTGTCGGTGTCACAGCTTGCCAACCCATAGCGCTGCCCCATCCCTGCGGCAGGCGATGCTCAGCCAGGCGGGCCGAGTTCAACAGTCTCACGACTATGCTCAGGCGCGTGGGTCATGTCGTGGAGCATGCGCCAAACATCATCGCCAGCGCTCCTCGTGCGCCGCCATCGTTCGGAGGCTTCGTGGGCATGGCCGACGACGACAGCAGCGACGCAAATTCAACGGGCCCCTGGCGCACTCGGGGCCTCGACCCCTGGGCTGCCAGCGCCGCCGAGCCTCCCGGTGCCGGGGGTGGCGTTGCGCGTGCTACCGGCCAATCGCAGTGTGCCGCGCCGCCGCGGGCAGCCTATCCCGCGGCCGCGTGGGCGCCCGCGGACAGGCCCGACTGCGTCAGCGGAGCCTCTTCGGGCATCAGGGGGGCAGAGATGTCAACGACCAAGCGCCGGGTCTCCAAGGTCAGCCCTGCCCAGATACGTGCTCAGATGTCCTTGCAGATGAAGACTGGCTGCGTAGCTGCAGTGGCGCAGACGCGTGCAACGTCGTGAACGTGCGGCACGCGGGTTCATGGAGAAGAACAACATCGCGTTCTCCAGAAAAGGCGAAGGCAGAGGCAGAAGCAAAAGTTCCCAGAAATATGAATTTCTCATGGGGCTCTCAGACACCCCATTAGGACAGGTCTTCTTCGGCGGAGCAGGACAGGGCAAGGGCGGGCGCTCGCCGGGCAAGGGTCAAAGCAGACGCCGCAGTCCTCGGGGCTGCGACGGGGCCGCCATGGCGTGCAGCATCTGTGGGAGCGAGTGCCGCTTCCGTGCTGGGTGCCCTCGAGGCGCCGCGTCGTCGCCACCGGGCAGCGGCGGCGGCGGCCAACGTGGCGGATGTGCAGATTCAGGGCCCATGGGTGGCGCCCTGGACCCTGGCCTCCTTGCCTGGATCTTCGGAGGTGTCTTCGTGGGCGCTGGGGGCCCTCTGCAGCTGCGGCCAGGTCGCGACGCCGCGCCAGCGCGGCCGTCCGCCGACGCCCCCGGGCAGCTGCCTAGATCTGCCCACGGTTCGTGGCCAGCAGCCTCGCTCGCCAGGTTTCAGAGCCACGCGTCACCTCGGGTGTTCTACATTGCTACGCCAACTTCAGGACCATTGCAACTGCCAGTGCGTCCGCCGTTCCCTGGCGCGGCCGCCGCCGCCGCGGAGCTGGCGGCAGCCGCCGATGGAGCTCGTCCTTCCGCCGGCGCGCCGCGGAGGATTGGGGCTTTGTGGGGCCCCCGCGCGATGGAACTCATCGACCAGCGGCAGCGGCGCGGGCGCCGCAACCTGGCCGATGGGGCAGCTCGCGACCCCCGACGATCAACGGATCAACATCCCTCGCAGTAGTAGTTGCGGCTGAGTCGCGCGTCGACGGCAGGGTCAGCTGGCGCGGGCTGCCCTGCCAGACAGACAACTCCGCGGGCATGAGCACCTAGCAGATGTGCTGACCGTGGCTACCAGGCCCTAGCCCCCGAGATATCCATCTTGCCGTCTTCCGCGGCCAGATCGGAAGCCGACCGCGGCGCGCGGGTGGGGCGGCGACGCGCCCGCCGACGTGGGCGTGCCCAACAGATGATCAACGCGGGCATGGCTGGACTTCCAGCCGTGGCGCCC